CCGGCCAGCCCCCCACCACCACACCACCACCCGCACACCACACATCACCCCGGCCCATGCTCCCCGCCGCCGCCCGCACGGATCCTCAATCGACGCTGACTCCCGGCCTGCAGCGGCTGCGTACGGCGCTACCAGACGGACTGGGGTGTTGCGGCGCGGATGAACCGCCGTTGCTGGGGGCTACCTGGCCGCGCTGCGCAGGCCTGGCCTGTACCAGGGGCGGCCTGGAGCTGTCGTGGTTGTGTCAACGCACGCCTGGGGAAGGAGCGCTGGCGCCGAGTGGGGCGCGGCGGGGCTCGAAGGCCAGGCGACAGACGCGCAGCTGATCGTCAACACGTCCGGAGCCAAGGCCACCCGGCTCCCCCCGGGCGATGTTCCTGTCCGCCCCGGCCTGCCTCAGCCTGCGCCGCCTCGCGCCATTTCCGCTGATGCGGTGAGGCTTCAGTTGTTTTATTGTGGGGGTTGGTGTTGGGTTTATTGTTGGGGTTGGTGTTGTTTTATCTGTGGTGTTGGTGTTGTGTTTATTGTGGGGGTGTGTTTGTTTTATTGGGGGTGTTGGGTTTTTTTATTGTTGGGGTTGGTTGTGTCTTTAGTTGTGGTGGTGTTTTTTTCATGGTGCGGTGTGGTGTTGTTTATTGTGGTGTGGTTGTGTTTATTGTGGGGGGGGTTCGGTGTTGTTTTATTGTGGGTGTTGGTTGTTTTATTGGGGTGGTGTTTATTGTGGGGTGTTGGTTTGTTATTGTGGGGGTGTTGGTGTTGTTTATTCCGTGGGGGTGTTGGTTTGTTTCATTGTGGGGGTGTGGTGGTTTTTTATTGTGGGGGTGTTGGTGGTTGTTTTATTTTGTGGTGTGTGGTGTTGTGTTTTTATTGGGGGTGGTGTTGGTGTGTTATTGGTGTTGTGTTGTGTTATTGTGGTTGGTCTGTAGTATCTACATGCCCAGCATCCACGAATGTGGGGGTCAGGAGTTTCTGGTACAAGATGGCAGTGGAGGGGCTGCTGCAGATGGATTGCCCCTCTAATGTAACATGTTTTAACTACAGATGTCACTCGCTTACTGATTATTTCATCAGGCTGAACATTAATTATAATTCACGTGTCACGAATAATGGCAAGATGGATTGTTGAATTTATCTGTGTATTAAGTGACTAATCTGCAGCACCAAAACGCGGTGTAGGAAGCGTGTCTGTCTGGTAGCTGGTCTGTAGCTGGTCTGTGGTGTAGTGTCTTAGGCTGTTGTAGCTAGTCTGGTCTCTAGCTGGTCTGTCTGTAGCTGTGCTGTCCTGTCTGCTAGCTGTCTGGGTTGGTAGCTGGCTGTCGTCTGTCTGTAGCTGTCTGTAGTGTCTGTCGCTGTGTAGCTGTCGTAGCGCGTGCGGGGTAACTGTGTGTCTGTCTGTAGCTGTCTGTCGTGTAAGCTGTCTGTGCGCTGTCTGTCGTGGTCTGTACCTGCGCTGTAGCGTTGTCTGGTCGTCCTGTAGGCTGTCTGTAGCTGTGTCTGTCTGGTCTGGTAGCTGTCTGTAGCTGTCTGTCTGTCTGTAGCTGTCTGTCTGTAGGCTGTCTGTCTGTCTGTGCTGGTCTGTAAGGAGGATCCAGTGTAACAGATGTTATTTTGGAGTATAGAGATCACGCTGCTGGATGGAAACGATCATTGGGAAGAGTTAGAAACGTGAGTATACGAACATCGAGGTAGGTGTGTACAGCTGTTCATATTACTCTCATGCTATAAGTACATCTGTATTTTCATATTATGTAATATAAATGTATTATAATAAGTAATATTATTGGATTACATCATTATTATACATATATCGTAATATATATGTAATATATTTTTAATTATATTATACATATATGTAATAATATATGTAAACCTTTTCATATTATTACAGTATATTATTACATAAGCTGAACTCACTGAAGCTGTCGTTACATTGTTGACCTGCTGAGTGTATTTATAGCCCGTACCTGACAGTGGGGCATTTATAATGGTTATTTGGTTCCATTGTCAGTCGGTCGGTGGGGGGAGAATTATCCACTCCATGACTATTTGCTGGCTGTGTATTTAAAAATACAGTAATGTGAATTAAAGGCAGTCTCTTCTTAGGATCCAACAGGAACATTGAGTCAATAATGATTTGGAGGCTGCCGTAAGCGTTTCCCTCCTGTCGGCTGCACCTTTGATCCCCCGTTGATCACATGGTCGCTCGCTGGAGTAGAAGAAGGTCCTCCCCCTCCACAGTTCAACAGCCTCTGCCTGCTGAACAACAGTCCTGGTTCTTACCCTCCTCTGTTTGTTCTGTTACGGCTGGAAGGTTAGTTAGTTTGATTATTGGGTGACAAGAAGAAGAAGAACTAACAGTTTCACTCAGGAGTCAAACTGCCCGACCGGCATATTTCATTCATCTGAAATGAGCAGATTGATTATCCAGCAAATTAAATACAATTAAATATCAATAAATAAGTTAAATACGAATAAGAATACATTAAATACAGTAAAACCTAAATACATTTAAATACAGTACAGATACATTAAAATACAGTAAATACATTAGAGATGAACAGTAAAACACATGTGAAATAGATTAAATGTACATGGGCAGACATACATTAATGTGAGATTTGCTGAAGGTTAGATATAGTGTTGTTGTGCACAGCCTATTAACGACTGAAGTGGTGTAACAATCCTATTCTCTCTCTCGCCTCTTCTCTTCCTCTGTCTGCCGTTCTCTCTCTCGTTCTCTTGTCTCTCTCTCTCTCTCCTTTCTCTTGTCTCCTCTCTCTCCCTCGTTGCTTCTCTCTTCTCTTGCTGTCCTTCGCTCTCTCTCTGTCTGTCCTCTGGTCTGGTCTGCTCATCTCCTCTCTGCTCTTCTGCTCTGCTCTCTCGTCTCTTCTCTCTCTCTCTCTCTCTCCCTCCATCACCAGCAGTCATTAGTTGCTGATTGGTTCATTCCACTTGTTGTCTTTCTGCCATTGAACAGTTTAATAGTGTTAACGGGTCGTGGAGATGAAGACTTCTTGTTGGTATATGAAGTGTGTCGAGTGTCGCTGCTCGTCTGTTGTTGGTGTTTGTGTGATTATACAGAAACAATTGATCTGGTAGTTGTTTCCCTAATTAGTTGTTTCAAAGTGACTCAAACAACAATAACAACAACTGCTGAATCATTAATCGTTGCAGATCTAAACTACTGAGCTGCTTTTACGTGACACATGACAGTAAAATCTGAATCTGACACGTGGAGAACCGGCTCCTCCCAGCAGGATGTTTTTATCCTCATGTCTCACTCAGTTTGTCCTCTGCGTCCACAGGTTGTACAGACGCTGGAGGACCACCACCAGGAAGTGCTGTCTCTCTACAGGGACTTTGGATTCGCCGGCCTGATCGCTCAGGATTCTGAGTTTGCCCTCTGCAACGTTCCCGCTTACTTCTCCTCACACGCGCTCAAACTGAGCTGGAACGGCAAGAACCTGACCACGCACCAGTACCTGCTGTCTGAGGCCGCCAGGCAGCTCGGGCTCAAGACACAGCACCTGCCATGCTTCGCTGCTCTGCTGGGTGAGGAAGCAGCACACAAACACGTTTCTCCTTCGCACTGAAACACGCAGCCCTACCTGCGCGCTGTACTTCACTGATACAGAGTTTCTCTCTTGCAGGAAATCATATTCTGCCTGATGAGGACCTGGCTGCCTTCCACTGGAGTCTGCTGGGACCAGAACACCCACTAGCTTCTCTCAAGGTACCAAACCACAGCGCTCTTATGAAATACCAGCTGTAATAATCATGTAATGCTGTTATCAGGCTTATATGACACAGGTAAAGTTATTTCTGACAGGTTTAGTTTAGTTAAAGGGTGAAATAGTAATGAGATGGACTGGTGTTCATTGACATATTGAGGCTGAATCCTGTTTGGTTGCTGCGTGTGTTCGTGGTATTGTGTGACAACAGACTCGGAGGTGGTGTGATATATGAAAACGCCACTTTCACGGCTGGCCGGCGTTGTGTGTAATTGTGCTTACTGATGACAGCAGAACCGCTCCAGCAGAAGTCCTTCGCCTTACGTGAACTCTGCAATATATAGAGTATTTAAATGTTGAGCTTTGATCCGTTCCTATAAAATGCAGACTTTGAGTAATGGCCTGCAACAAGAGGGGATTTAGTCTTTCCTCTCCTGCCTAATGAGACAGATTACAGACCAGAACAGAATCAGACGCAGCGTATTAGGCGAGACAGCCTGAAGTGAAGGCGTCTTCTCAGCGTTATCTCTAAGTGTTTTAATATCGGCTGCAAGGGAATACTAACCAAAATGTCTCTGAATTAAACTCACTATTGAGACCTAAACAAAATTCCCAAAAATTGTAACGAGTTTGTCTGATAGGTCTGATTAAACGTGTTTGGTTGAACGCCAAATGTAGCACAGACGCCTTCTGTAACGTTATATTAGTTAATGGAACAACAACAACTTGTAATTTGAGTGATCCGGTCCATCTGTTGGGCCTTAATGCTGTTTCAAGGCAACATAACCTCCTGCCTTTCCTTTTTATCTCGCGTCTGATTGATCAGCCGTCTAGTAACACAGCTGTACGACAACTAGTCATTTGTTTTTGTTTACTCCCATTAAATAAATGATAAATAATACAGATAATATCTCCATGTGGCTCTCTCCTGGGGGGGGTATGTGGATTAAAGGCGTTGTTCTGTTGCTGTCTCAGGTGCGAGCCCATCAGTTGGTGCTGCCGCCCTGCGAGGTGGTGATCAAGGCCGTCTCCGAGTACGTCTCCTCCATCAAAGACCTGGGAAACCTCGACGCCATCGCCAGAGATGTCTTCAAACAGTCACAGGTAGGTCACGTCTGCACCCCCCCCCCTTCAGTGATTATTACTGCTGACTTTTGTCCTCTTTATTGAGTTTAAAGCTTTAATATGGAACATTTCAGCATTAAAATGTCCATAAACACTAGAGCTGTGTGTCTCTAACATATGTGAGAAATCAGCTGCTAGACTTCAGATGTTACGGCTTTAACTTCTGGCTGTTAAAGACACAATTAATCAGCAATGTACGTCAATAAATAAATAAATAACTAGTTTAACCGACTAGTATTTCTGGTGTCAGCTGGTGAGATTATCAACGTGTAACCGGCTGATCGCACAAACTCTATATTTTATCCGGGTGAAGGATTTCAGTCATCAGACGTCTGGATCTTAATGTTGTTGTTGTTGTTGTTGTTGTTGTTGTTGTTGAGAATATGCTTGAATTTAGATGTAAAGTAAAACGCTTCTCTGCCTCTGTTTTCTGATCTTTCACAATAAAATCATTTCAGTGGTTTGGGGGCACAATGCTGCAGGAAATGTTGAATTAATAATGACGTCTTAAATTATGAAATTGGTAGAAATTATTGCAATTAATCAGTGATAGAAATTTTTTTTTTTAGCATAATCTTTTTTTATCACTCGTATAAACCAAAAATCACGTAAATATTTTAATTGTTGTCTCCTGGCGTGTTCACTTGTCATTTATAGCACGATAAGTCCTCCGTTGGTCCTTTACGCTGGAAATTAAATAATCCTATTTGATAATAATCATAATGAAAGTAATTAAGAACAGCTGTGTGGCGTTATATACATTGATTGTGGGTATAAAAGAATACAGTAAACTATATTTTTCACTGTATTTAACTGATGATAAAAGCTTTGAGAGTCGAAATCTTTTGTTTATGTGTCTTCAAAGTGCTGGAAGAAATGCTCAAAGTCGTACGAACCCTCAAAATGTGAAAATGAACATGCTTCTAAGTTATTTCTGACCTCACAGGCAGACGGCCGCTGATGGTTAAGTAGGTCATCACTGTTGACACAAGACCTGAGTCAGCACGAGCACTTCCTCACACATTGGTGCTGAACCATAGAATTACACCACACCTTCTATAAATCTATGTGCTTTACAGGATCATCTAGTTTCAGTTCTTCACAGGGAGCAGTGTTTACAGTGAGCACACATGAAAGACGTGTTTACTAATGTATGTGAACAGAAATCTGGTCTGCAGTTATTTCAGTGTCTCTGATTGAAGAAGTAAAGTTGGAGTTCAGCGTTTTATCAAATCAGCGTCCTTATTCCTATCGAGTCTATTTATATACGTCCTGTCACTGCTACCAGACGTTCACTGACCCTTTCCCAGCTCATTTGTCCTGTTGTGGTGTTTGTTTGATCTGGTGAGCTGAACCTAAAATCCTGCTCTGCATTGGATTAAGACACAAACCGCCTGGAAAACCTGGAATATAGACTAGTTTTAAGTTATAGAACCACCTCGAAATCGATTAAAATGACCAAATATCCTGGAAATAATCTGTGTTGTCCTGGGAGTTATTGTATTTTAGCCCCTCTCTCAGATGTAATATGTAAGCCGAGTATTTAGTTTGATTATTTAGTTCTTTCTGACATTGAATGTGAGTGAAATTCTACTTTCTACATGCGTACAGCGTTACATTTCCTGTGGCTGTGACTGATAAATACACACACACTGATGTTAATTCTATGTGCAATGAACACTTTCCTTTACTTCTTTACTAAAAGGTGAATTTTCTGTGAAATAAAATTAATCCTACTTGATTTGAAGTGTTACTACTTACTACTTCTTAAATTACTGGAGTCAGTTTTACCTGAAACCGTTGATTATATGACCGTTTGTAAGCAAGTGCTGTCCCGTATTGTCAAGAAAAACTCCTGGAAAGGTCCTGGAAAAGTCCTGGAAAGGTCCTGGAACCCTGTCCAAGCTGTTCCTTAATGTTCCTTTAATGTTTTTAATTTTTTGAGCTTTCTACAAAATAACAAAGAAGGCTAGAAATGAACTCCGTCTTTAATATTTTTTGCTCTCGTCGATGTCTGGAGGGAGTTTCTCTCTCTCTCTCTTTAAACGCGTCCTGCAGTGTTTGTTCAGCCTTTACCTGAATGAGCTGTAATCTGCTGAGTGTTTATTTCCCGTCAACGTCTTTTGTGCGGATTACATTAATAAATGACTCTTATTGGCGTTTTGTTGCACTCGCAGTGGAGTGGTGAGTGTGGTTGTTGGCCAGGTGGAGTTATACAGCCGAACAGTTAGTATAGTTTATAACATTTGTGTGATTCAGCAGTTTTTGAAGATGAAGTCAGTATGTTCTGTATCTTTTAGCCCAGCGGTTCCCAACCTTTTACCTTTAAAAAACCTTTTCTATCATTTAGGAACTGACTGACATTTTTTATGGATATTTCATATTATATTTAAAACTGTACAATGAATTCAAACGGTGAACTCGTTCATTTTGAGCAGATTATTTCCTGTTTAGGCACAATTTTTTTATACGATTCTGTCTGTATTATGTTATTTTTATCATTTTTAACAACCACAAATACTTAATAGTTCTTTTTTTTTTACTTTTCGTCCACAGAAGTGAACCAAATAAGGTTTTGAGAAATTTGAGAAATTCAAATCTCCACGCCCTGTGAGAAGCGTTGGCGACCCGTAATGGGGGTCCCGACCCCAGATTGGGAACCACAGATTGAGTCAACATCAACAAAATACGGTATACAGTGTCGTCTGTAACTGTTGCTGCTGTTCCCTTTTGTCTCCAGTCACGGATGGAGGACAAGGTGGAGCGATTCAAGAAAGCTGTGGAGTATTTCTCAGCTGCCTCCAAACCACGCTCGCCCAACATGGGGCCCTCCTCTTTCATCTGTGAGTAAAACTGCTCAGAAAAAATAAAATACTACCAAACATTATGTAATCATTCCTGGCTTACTAAATATGTATTATGTGGGGGGGAAAGTTAATTTACATCCTCGATTTGTTTGTCTCTCCCTGCTTTAGTACCTGGGTTTGGACCCAATCCATTTGGGGGACCACCTGGCCACATGGGACCGATGCAGCCGGGAAAGAATCAGGTAGATTCCTTATCTATTTTATTTTTTTAATCCTTCATCCTGTTTGTGTGCGTGTGATTTTGTTCTCTGCTCTGCGTGAATGTACATGTAGGAGAGTGGATTAAGTTTTTTTGCTCTTTTGAAATCCCTTTGTGGCATGTGCTCATTTAGGGGAAAAGGGAGGGAGGGAGAGAGGGAGGGAGGGTGCAGTCCTTTCCATCCCAGATCTGCCACCAGCCTTTATTAGATGCTTCTAGTTTGATCTGAAATGAAATAGGCCAGTGTTAGTTTCCCGTCCTCCCTGAGACATCTTCCTCCCTCTCTCCCTCCCCTCTCTCTCTCTCTCTCCCTCCTGTGCTCTTTCTCTTCTCCTCGTCTTCCATTATTCTTTACTTCCTCCTCTCCTCTCCCCTCTGTCCAACCACAGTTCCCTCCTCCCCAGGTTCCAGGGTTAAAGCCACCCTATCAAAATGCCCCATATGGACCTGGCTCCATCCCTCTGTTCCAGAACCCGCCGCCATCGTCCCAAGACTGCAACGACTCGCTGACGAACAAGATGGGCTTCTCCGATTGGTCGGCTCCGTATGATTCCACTCAGGGGGGAAGTCGATTACCCAATCATCACACCAGCACCCAGTCTGGTCCCTCTCCGTCTCCTTCCTCGTCATCAGATGGAGACGAACCCAACGACAGCAACGCAAAGTAAGAGACGCAGCGAGTGGGAAAAGGTCGTGTTTACGCCGCTCGGGCTTTAGCTGACTGTTAGCTCCCTAATTAGATTTAAGTGAAAATGGGACTTTGGCATTTTAGGTGGAGCAAAGCACTTTACATAACACATGTTTGGACTAATCACAAGGAGAGCTCAGCTTTCACAGCAGCAGCTTTACAACAGTAGTGCCCGTAAGGAAAATGGTAATTGACTTTTAAAAAGCACTAGAAGATTTATTTGTGGCTTTTTTTTTTTTAAAGTGCAGTATATTTCTGGGTGTCTTTTTTTGTGCCGCGGTATGTTGCTGCGTCTTCAGTGCTGTTGCACAGTAACAGGACAGAAAGCTTGCAGAAATATGAGAGAGAAATCTCTTTCGGACAAGCAGCCTGCTACGTAAATTTAACCTGTTGGTGTCTGAAAACCTTTAATGTGAACCCAGAAACGTTCCCGTAACCCTTTCAACAGGGTACAAATCTAAATTTAACACATTAATGTCATCATCGTTTTTAAGAGCTGCAATAAGCAAAGTGATTACATCCATAATAACAACACAAATGAATATATAAGCAGTAGGAAAAAGGTTTCAAAGCCCTGAATAATAATAAACAAACCGACAGGAGTACCAGAGATATTATCTCTCAGCCTTATTGTGATTTGGATTGGATCTGCAGTCTTTCCTTTCAGGGGATAGCTTTGAAAAAAGAGACGTAACGTAACCATATACAGAGAGGGAAAGGTGAATCTCATTGCAGCGAGATATTTGAACACTCGAGAGAAAACAACAAGAAGAATAAATGAATAAATAAGAAACTACACATGTTCCTGTTCTGAGGTTTGACATACTGCACCTATTTCTTACTGTTGTATCATCCATCATGTAAATCTCCATTGTTACATCTGTTGAGTTATTTCCGTAGGTCCAATCAGTATCAAGTCCCTCTTCACCAACACAACCCACTCTCACCGAGACATGAAGGCACACGAGTGCAGCTGAACCACAGTGAATAAATGCAGTGATAAATAAATGCAAGTCATACATCGACTGAGCACTGCCTCTTTTATTTATATTGTTGGTCTGCAGTAACCAGTTCCTAAATCTGTGAGTTTGGTTTCAGCTGAAATAAACCTGCCTGAAGTCAACCTGTATAGCATTTCACTGCATATATGAGAGGGAATTAAGGGCGCTCTGACACCCATAATGGCAAAATAAAGAGATTTTTCTAACCTCTAGGGCTCAGAAATGTGTTCTCTCTCTCTCCTTTCATTCTTATTAGCAAACAGCCATACAGTAAATTTCAGGTAGCAGCGACACCGACCGTCACTGTCACCAGTTCAGAAGTCACAATGTCCAATCAGCTGTCAGATGATCTCTGAGGGGAAAGGAACTTGTCTGTTGTCTGTAAGCTCTCAGTCAGAGATTGTTTGTGAGGGAAGAACCTCGACTCTGTAACACTGACGTACAGCAGGGACTGTTTCTGTTAAACTTTAATTATAATCTCATCAGATCATCTCATCGTATCAATAATTTCAGCTTGTAAGCGTAATACTTTTGAACCGGGACCTCCAGTGTTTGGATGAAGTAGCTTGTTAAAATCGGGTGCCAAATGTAGTTAATGTTTCATTTAATTTATATTTAGGTAAATGTAGTTGGACTCCTTCCCACAATGCAGTGCATCCATAGCAACTGTACATCAGTTACACTTGTTGACTTTGTGTAAAGTAGCCCAGCTACAGTTTAGAGCTCCGGGGTTAGGAGGAGGATGGAGCTGCAGTGAAAACTGTCCACTGAGGATACACGTGGGATTTGGGAGTTTTTCGCTCCTTGCATGTTTTGTTGACCCAACAGTTTCCCAAAAAAATAAGGTTTAGAAGTCTGAATGTGGACACTTTGGACTTGTTGTGTTTTAAAGTTTCTGATTGGTTTGCTGCTACTGCAAAGTGAGCCTCCAACACAACTAGAGATGCTTTTATCTTTGATATTTTGTCGTCTAAAGACGTTGCCGATATTAGTTTAGTAATCAAGGAACCAATAACCTGGAAAATAGTATGTGTAGTAAAAAAGTTAGAAGAAGCAGTGTTTGGGAGTGTAACTAAGTTCATTTACTCAAGTACTGTAATTAAGTACAATTTAGTACTTGAGTATTTCCATCTTATTTTACTTTATTCTTCCACTCTACTACATTTTGGAAGCAAATATTGTACTTTAATTACTCCACTACATTTATTTGATGCTGTAGTTGGTAGTTACTTAGATCTTAAATCAACTAATGAATAATGATGTGTTCGTGTGGAGCCAAAGCATTTTTAAATTCAATTATTTTGTCTCTAACGGAGGAAATAGTACAGATTCTGGTTGTTGGATAAATGCTGAATATCTGATCTGATAATCGATCCATCACTAACACACGCTCTCCCATGATCCCTTTCTCTCAGCCATTTGACGGAGAAGCCCTCCCGGTGGGAGGATCCTGCTGGAAGGGGGGGCTCGGCCTCTGGAGACGGTTCCCAAGGCAACGGGAGCGGGTCAAACATTCCCTCACTGTTGTCTATGGCGACGCGGAGTCACATGGACATAACCACACCCCCTTTGCCTCAGGTGTGTGTCCGTGAGAGAAGTCTATCAAAAAGAAAAGACGACGCAGTGCGGCCGTCGGTCGGGGAACAGTTGTCACCATGTGTTTTCCTTTCAGGTCAGTGCTGAGGTTCTTCGTGTAGCCGAGCACAGACACAGAAGAGGACTGATGTACCCCCAGATTTTCCACATATTGACCAAGGTACAACCGTTTTCTATCTTTTTTTTTTTAGTTAAACGACGGTTATAAAAATACCGACCACGTCAGAGCTCCCGGTCCTCCCTTTAATCTCCTCTCGCTCTGTGCTTCCTCAGGGAGAGATGAAGATGCCAGTGTGTATAGAGGATGAGTGTAACTCTGAGCTGCCGCCTGCCTCTCTGCTGTTCCGTGCTGCCAGACAGTACGCGTACGGCGTCCTCTTCAGCCTGGCTGAAACACACCGCCGCCTGGAGAGACTCGCTCTCCGCAAGAGGGCTCCTCTGGAAGGTAGGTCCAGGACTAAAGGAGGGCAGTATGGGAGACTAAACTGTAACTACACAGATACTTTGATCTCTTAGTTGGGGGTTGAGTCTTTTTATTACCTGAGCTCTGAAATATTGTCCCCCTGGGCAACTTCAAGAACAGTGTTTGTGTTTTAAATTTAGATTATGTGTGTCAGTTAGCTAATTTTAGGGAAACCTTTTGTTTATCTCGTCCAGTCGAGCCGTCAGCAGCCCGGCAGGAGAAACGCTCTGTAGTCTGCTAGGGTTTAATAACTGTGAGCAGGACTCTTTCACTTCCTCTGACTGCCTTAAGCCTTAATGAAGTAAAGCTGTTTTCACATGTGAACCCCAAACTGTGTCCTTTCACACATACGCACGCAGCAGGAGGTTGTCGGTCTCACCAAAGCTCCAAAAATGACAAAACTAACTGTAGGAAATGAAGTGTGAGTCAGTCTAATAGAGACTAATGCAGGCTGTTACTGATCGGAGTATGAACAGCCAGCTCAGCTCACGGTGCAACGTCATCAACGCGCCCACTCGCTCCGGGCAGTGACTCCTCTAATCACACATGAGCTCACACAGACTTTGGACCGACCGGGTTAAATACATTTAACTTTCGGTGTTTTTAACTCTGTTCTCTTCACAAACGAGAAGCGGCTAATCTGCTGACTCAGACGGCTGGTTGAGGAGGGAGCACGTCTTATGAAAAAGTTTGCAGCATTTCAGGACATTAATAGACTTTTTCACAACTGCCTATGTTTGAGAGACACAGTGGACCTTCAGTCTCACAGTACGCAGCCTTGGAGGAGTGTGTTAGTCATATAGCCCAGCACTGAAACCCCTGTATCACTGTGTCATAGTCTCTTTTTCTGTAGTTAAACTGAATCATGTTCATTTTTCAGGGTCCTGGAAAATCTGGACATTTAGAAACTAGTTTTTCAGTTATGGAATCACCTGGAAACTGATTAAAATGGTCAAATATCCTGGAAATAATCTGTGTTCTCCTGGAAAAGTTTGTATTTTAGCCCCTCACTCAGATAACCTGTGTAAACCTGGGTGGCTATTTTGTATGAAATTCAACTCTTGGTTGGATAATCAATCAATCATTTTTTTTGCACTTTTGCACATTAATTAACTGTACATTTTTTATCTTTAATATATATATTAAATATATAAAACTATACATGTTCTTAATATTTGTTGGGAGTTTGTAACAAAAATAATTTCTCGCTGAGATTATTAAAGTATTTCTGATTCTGATAAACTGGATGAGACTGAGAGCGGGTTTACCAGACGTGTAGTGGTATTTTTCAGCATGCTGATATAACTGTTTGTAGACAAGTGCTGTCCTGTAAGAAAAACACCTAGAAAATGATGAAATGATAAAAGATTGGCAACCCTGCTTCTCATACCAACTCTCTTTCTCCGTGTCGCAGTTCCTCCAGTGATTGTCAAAGAGTGGAGCAGCGGTAAAGCCAAGTCGGCTCTGACTCCGGAGCTGGTTCCAGCCCTGTGTTTCCGGGAGTGGACCTGCCCCAACCTGCGGCGGCTGTGGTTGGGTCGTGCCAGCGAGGACCGCTCCAGGAGAACCAGGGCCTTCCTGGCCTGCCTACGCTCTGACTGCCCAGCCCTCCTCAACCCAGCACAGGTCCCACAGCATCTGCTGCTCATGTGCTGCGTGCTCAGGTAGGACGGCGCTCTGCACCACTGACACGTTAGAGTGTGTGTGTGTGTGTGTGTGTGTGTGTGTTGTTCTTTAATACAGTGTGAGGCAGGACCTTCTACAGCTGAAATGATGGGAAACAGTGATTGGCATTTGTCTTTTATTTTCTGACATTTTACAGACAAAACAAGTATCACTTAGGAAATAAAAATTACTACTTAATTAATACTCTTAAGGCTGCATATTTTCTCGGTACACTGCACAGTGTGTACAGTTACATCGGCTGTGTTGAGCTCCATGTTATTTTATTAACAGCAGCTCTCGTTCTTCAGAGAATTAGCTCATTAAAATGATAAAAATCGTCCAAAAGAAACAGCCGGCGATGGAGCTAATAGCTGAGATATTCGCCCAGTCACCCAACCCTATACTGAGTGCACTATTCTAGTTTAAAAATGCAACAGAGGACTGAGGGAGTGAGGCAGCGTGTGATGCAGAGGGTCTGGGGGATACAGGGAGACTGACTGACCAACACTCGGTGTCGTAGAGCTGGTAGTCAGAGCTAACCCACCACCAGACGCTTCCATCAGGCTCTCCGTTTCTCTCTTTGACTGTCACTATTTGTGGCCCTTTGAGAGAGTCGCTGTGTGGGCACAGAGTTTCTGTTTTTAGTTCAGACGTGTGGAGCATCAGTACACTGTAGTTCTGTGTTCGTGTTCTGAAGCGAGCTCTGTTTCCTTCTTCTCTCTCAGGTATATGATGCAGTGGCCTGGGGGAAGGATCCTCCAGAGACATGAGCTAGATGCCTTTCTGGCTCAGGCTGTTTCCAGTCAGCTCTACGAACCCGACCAGCTACAGGAGCTCAAGGTAAGACCCCACTCCTCGCTCTTTAATAACTGGATTATCATTGGTGTAGGATTTCTCTACAGAATACACAAGTCTCTGCACAGCTTTCGTTTGGTTTCTAGTTTCCTGATGAAGTCCCTTTGTTAGTAATGCACCCTGAAACTCCGTACAGCTGCTGGACATCTTAACACCTTTTGAACACAAAGTCTGTACTTCTTTAATACAACCTCACACTGTGCCCGTCATCCTGTCCGTCACCACAGCGAGTTGTCTGCCCGACGTTGTTTACTTCAGATCTCCTCTGACTGACTGACCTCCGGCCCGTCGCCACAATGTTGATGAATGTAATTTAATCCAAAGTCTGCACAGGGTACTTTTATTTTGAAAATGTACCAGATTCTCCGTGCTGTTTGTGCTAGTTCTGTCTACTCTGAGCTGCTTTACCCGAGTGGGTCTTCTTCTACGAGGCACCGCAGCACCGCAGTGAGTTTTCAGCATTGTCTTTAACAGGCGCTACAGCTCCGGTGACCGCCGTGGAGCTGTAGCGCGTCGCCCCGTGACCGGTGGAATTTGAGGTTTACACACTGACTCAGAAACTTTTATTTCACACCTGAAAGGAAAAAAAATAATAAATAAATGAGGACGGCACACAGTCAGGAGGGAGACTGACAGTGTGGAGTTGTTGTGGCCGCAGTGAGCAGAGAGGAAGCAAAGGAGGAAATGAGAAAGACGGAGCGACAGCAGCATCGGGCTCCTTCTCTCAGCAAGTTCCCTTTGTTCTCTGCACCTTGGACCCAATGTTTCCTTTTTCTGCTTTCAAATGAGAGGACGACAAAATCCTCCCCATTGGTTGACGACTGATATTGTAAATGTCACAAACAGAAGAAGTACGTGTGTGCTCACATACCACGAGTTCATGATTCACAACTTCACTTCCTCCTCCTCCTCCTCTCCCTCCCTCTCCCTCCTCTCTCTCCTCCTCTCCCTCTCCTCCCCTCCTCTCCCTCCTCCTCCTCTCTCCTCTCTCCTCCTCCTCCCCTCCTCTCTCCTCCCTCCTCTCCTCTGTGAGCCGCCGACAGTTTAAATAAGCTGTGATTTTTGTCGTTCTGTGTCTGTCAGGGTGGAGAAGGTGGATGCCCGCCGGCGTGCAGCTCGCTTCCCTCTTTATGGCTGGCGTGACACAAAGCGCTTGTTCATCAATGATGTGTGCGGCAGCCGTTGCCATGGGAACACTGCTGTCCCTGGGGCTTTTTTGACGGGCAAACTGTTCCAGAGCAAAACTGGCCCGGGCGCCCGGCGACCGGGCCGCCCTGCTGGTACATTGTGCGAGGGGCAGGTACGGACCTTGAGTGAGGTGTTGGAGAGATTGTGAGAGTGCTCTCTGTGTGAGAGTGTGTGTGTGTGTGTGTCTCTGTGTGAGAGTGTGTGGTGTGTGTGTGTGCTTCTGTGTGAGAGTGTGTGTGGTGTCACTGTGGGTGTGTGTCACTGTGTGTGTGTCACTGTGTGTGTGTGTCACTGTGTGTGTGTGTCACTGTGTGTGTGTGTGTCTCTTAAGTAACAGTTATCCATCCCTCCATTAGCTATCCGGCTCAGTGAGACGCCCACCCCAGACAGATCAGTTACATGGCTTACAGTCAACAGAGTTTCCTAAATTTAAATACTTAAGTAATAACTTATTTATCATTTTTAAAAAAGCAATGCAGCAGCTGTATCTAATCGAAAACTGGATTCATACGATAGAAGCAAGAATATTTTAGAGCCTGTTTTGGAGCCCTGCGCAGCCTTTCTCCATCCTTCTGTGAGCAACCGTGATCTGATTATGTGCCACACTCGGTGTAACTTAATTCAGCATTTTGTCCGGGAATAGAAGCATCCAGGCTGCAGCTGCAGGGTGTGCGTGCAGCGACAGGACGGCTCCCCACAAACATCTCGACCCGTGGTGGCTGGCTGTTTTAGAGACAGTAGAAAGCTTTCTATAAGCAGAACATTTTAAACGTCAGTAATGTAGATCACCAGTAAGATTATTGGGAAAGAGCAGAAACAACTGGGATGTTTACTGTATGTGAAACACAAGTGGAACAACAAGCCAGACAAATTGTGTCTGATCCTCTTCATCCTGTTTAATGAATTCATAAATTGCCTCCGAGAGAGTCGCTGCAGCAACGAAGAACATTTACACAAAGTCTTTGATCCAAATGCAATAACTTTGTTCAGTTCAGAAACACCTTTTACACCTGAACTATTGTCTGCACTGTCAGTTATTCATTTATTATTGCTTCTGTTGTAATTTACAATGTTTTAATTATCCTGTGCAGCCAAATTTCCACATTAGATTCACACACGTCCTGGAAAACATTTACAGACTGGTTTTCCTGTCACGAAAACTCCTGGAAATTGATGAATATCCTGGAAATGATTCCTGTGTTCTCCTGGATCGATAATGGATCGGTTTTATTAGCTGATGATGTTCTCCGCTCAGTCACAGTCGTCTTTCCTCTCTGCAGGAGGAGCTGGTGTCCAAGGTCGAGAAGATGCGTCAGGCAATCCTCGAGGGCATCAACCTGTCCCGCCCTCCTCCTCCTCCCCCTCCTCTGCCACCTCCTGCCTTCCTGCCCCCCGCCATGGTGCCCCCTTTCTACCCCATGCCTCCACTCTACCCACCTCGCCCCATGGGCGGCATGCCCCCTCATCATCACCCACATCACCCGCATCACCCTGCGCAGCACAGACCCAGAGCCTTCCCAGGTACAGACACACTTAAACAGGGACGGTGCACAATACAACTGTGTCTCTCCTCTTTGTGCTGATTTCATACTCACAACCTCGGGGTCGGGGGGGCGAGGCCTTCTTGATTTTAAGGGTTGTAGGAAAACGTGCTTATATATGAAGATTTTGTTCATTTCTAAAGTCGAGATTATTATTTAAGATTTAACTTTGAAGAGCTGAACACACTGAGCCTTCACTCTCTGATAAACAACCAAAGAGCTGATAGAACAATGAGAAGAAAACAAAAAAGAAGTCTGTTAATTCTTTAGGATTGTTAACAACTAAAGAAAATCCATAATTCAGACAGAACTGCATAAAAATATCAGGAAAACTCATCTGGGATCAATATTCACAGAAAAGAATCTGCTAATGTGTGTTCACTGTTTGGGTTCATTGTACAGTTTATCAGTTGTTCTCTACTGTTGTTGTTATGCAAAGATAAAAGGGTCTCTAATAGATCCACTGTTCTATACAGTTCAAAGGTCGGTGGTTTGGGGGTGAAGCTGTAGAAACCTGTCTCAGTTGTTACTTGTGTTTCTGCAGGCATCCAGTCCATCCCCCCTCAGGGAGGGAAACTGGAGATAGCCGGCATGGTTGTTGGCCAGTGGGCTGGAAACAAACCAGTCCGTGGGAGAGGGGGGTTCAACATGCAGGTGGTGTCGGTGGGAGCAGGGAGAGGGTGAGTACGACGACCGTCTCTAATCGGGACAGCTAATGACGGCCTGTTAATCCACCAGCTTTCCAAAACTGTAAAAATACATTATTAATACAACAGTTCCTACTGGAAACACTGAAACACCATTTAGTCATAGTGATTAGCATTAGCACGCATTAATATTAATATCTGTTCCCTCAATGGCAAACACGCTGTTGTTTATTACGGCCAGAGGCAATAAGCTCAAAGAAAAGAGAAAGAAAAAGACTTCCTCCGCCTCAGCAGCAGAGCAATTACCGGCAGTACCTGCAGATGAATACGAGCCTCCGCCAGCTCGCTAACAAAGCACATTGAAGAAACACCTTCCACTTGATTATGTATCAGTATTGACTGCAAAGCACTGCTGCTTTGTACCAGTGGGAATGTTTGGCAATCAAACGGTTTGATTCTGCAGATCTGGAAAGTAACTGAACTCGTCTTTGTTGAACTCAGTGCCAGAAAAACACCAGCAGAGGAAGGTTTACCACAGCATCGTGTCTGAGCCACATTTATAATGGGGTTTATTTTGCTGCCTGTTATTTAGATTTAGATTTAGAGATTTAGAGCAACTTATTTAGATGTGATGACGTCTACAGCCTGTTTCTGTGGTCACTCATTTTAAATTACTGACAAGTAGATGGTATCCACTGATATGTGTCCAATGTTCTTATGTTGCATCAGTTTTGCCAGATTGTTGTTTTAAACGTCAGTATCGACTCAGAAAATCCCTGATGACACTGTTAACTCGTGTAATTATAAAAACCTATTTTCGACAGTGAGAGAAATTATATCTGCTGAAATAACAGAATAACAGATTCCGACATTTTGGAGTTGACTAACTATCTTTACATTTAACAGGAGATACTTTACTGTAAATCACAGAGTTGAGGCAGAGAAAGACCAGAAAACATTTTCTCCATAAAATATGATCCAGTTTCACCAAAATCAGTGTCAGTCGGTGCTGTGTGACGTATTGCAAGAGGCAGCATTCACCCTTTTCCAACAGTGTAGCATCAAAATGACAGCGACGGTTATTATTTAGAGAAAAGTTACGTAATGTTGCTTTAATTCTGCGGCCTGCTGATGCATCTTCGTGTTTCTTCCCCACAGGAGGGGTAAAGAGATTCCAGCGAAAGTAAGGGGAGTGAAAAAGGCCCCCGCCAACCGGACACAGGTACGACACGAGCAGCAGACACAAAGCTCCTACAGGTTTCCCACACATCCTGGAAAACCTGGAGAGGGATTAAAAAGAGCAAATATCCTGGAAATAATGGATGTTGTCCTGGAACATTTGAATTGTATTTTAGCCGCTCACTCAGATTACGTAAACCTTTCTTCTTCTCGTCTTCTGTTTCTAACGGCGTCACTAACGGTGCCCTCTGTCCCCCTCAGTACGCTCTGTATAAGAAGATGACCCAGGCGGCCATCCTGATCCAGTCCAAGTTCAGGTCTTACTACGAGCAGAAGCGTTTCCAGCAGAGCCGGCGTGCGGCGGTCCTCATCCAGCAGTACTACCGCAGCTACAAGGAGTACGAGAGGCTCAAACAGGCCCCGAGGGGCGCCGCCAGCCACAACCCCAAGATCAAGTAAGAGCTGGAGGGAGCGTAGCACAGTGTGAGGGTTCAGGTCTGCTTCCTGCTCCAGCAGGGCTCACACAGACCGGGTTAACTACAGTAATACAGACACAGTACAACAAGAACAAGAGTTCAGTGCTGACTGCTCAATAAATACCAATAAACACTGACAGCAGGTATTGATGATTAATCCTGTGTCCATCAGGGGGTCGTTCTTGACGAAGAAACAGGACCAGGCAGCGAGGAAGATCATGAGGTTCCTGAGACGCTGCAGACACAGGTAACTCACGCTCTACAGGTGGTTGTGATGGAAACTGCTGACTAACAGCACCGTCGATCAAACGACTCGTCTAATGTTGCGTTCCCAGTGAAAGTGAAGCTCATATTGTCCCTTTAATCTGGTTTATAAGCAGTTTGATCCTAAAATAAGAATGTAAACGGCTCTAAATGACGCTGATTTGTTCAACAACCTTTAAAATGCTTGTTTTCTGAATGGAGTTTGGTTGATCGGGGCTATGTTAAGTTAGCTCACAGTAAAGTAAGACACATATCGTCCTCCTCTTCAGTCTCTCTGTATAAGTGTGAGCTCGTAGAGTTTAAATGAAACCCCGAGCTCTCCTGGTGCCGGTAAACGTCTCCAGATCAGAGCAGCGTCTCTCTCCACCGTTGGGTTGAGTAATAACGTATAATCAGTGTAATACGTGGATTGTTGTTGCTCCTCTGCAGGATTAAAGAGCTGAAGCAGACGAGGGAGCTGGAGAGGAGAGGACTGACCACTTAAACCACCTCCTCCCTTCTTTCTCCTCCTGGGGGGGAACCAGCAGAGAGGAGGAGAGACAAACGACTGACTGAGAGAAGAGCAGAGTGACGGAGAGATGCCTTACCCCATGCCAACTCTTTTCTTCTTCCTTTGGATCTATCTATATATCTGTCTGTCTGTCTGTCTGTCTCTCCTGGTTGAATGTAGCTGTCTGTCTGCAGCTTTAAGAGCTTCACTCAGAGCTCTGTCAGTACAGAGTGCGTCCAGTTAAACACTACACTGAACCACTGTTTACATTCTCACTGAGATAACCCCGAGCTTCAGCTGCAGATGCATGCTGGGATACCCGTCTGAAGTACCCCCCATTAAAGGTTGTTCAGCTGTGGACTCGGAAGACAAACAATCTCTCCTAGGAGGCGGCGCTCGGGGCGCAACCAGCCCGGGAGCTCCTCCGTCAGCCTGTCCCCTCCTCCCACAATTCACTGCTGTCCTCCTGCGAAGGTCAGGGGTCGAGGGTCAACGGGACGCTGCGTTTGAGGGTTGTTCGTAAGCCACTGTGTACGTGAAAATGTACATGATTCTAACAAAGCTACTATAAATATATTTAAACACAATCACATCTATAAACATATATATATAAATACAATATATATATTCTAATGTTGACTTTATAGAGCTATGGATGTTTTAATTTATTACAGCCATGAACTGTTAATGTGACTGTAATGAGAGTGTGTGGTGTGTGTGTGTGTGTGTGTGTGGTGTGTGTGTGTGTGTGTCGCGCTGCGGCAGACTGTAAGGTCGAGTCTTAAGGAACCCACCGCCTGACCTCTGACCTCTGACCTCTGACAAAACAAAAGACGTGTCTGTTCCAAAAATGTAACATTGTGCAGCTTCAACCGTAACGGTTTGAGATCAGTAGGAGACAATAATAATAATATAATAATAATCATCTTGTTTACAAAAGTGCTTCACAACAAACATCCGATAAATAAATAAAATCCAGTTGTTTATAAAATCTCCAGCACACTGGCCTAACCCGGCCTGTCGGGTATCCAGCGAGTAGCGAGTTCTGTGCCACCGACCCGTCAGTTAGGATGGCGAGGTCATCGACCCGGCCCTACTCTGATGTAACGAGGAGCCTAATAACCATTGGTAACAAACAACTAACGATGTAAAACAGTGACGTAATGACGTGGTTCTGACCCGTTCTCCTGAACTCTGGACCAGACAAGAACCAGGTCACTTTATTGGTACCGAGGGACAAAACACAAAGAAGAAATAAAGTACAAATAGAAAACAATAATAAATAAATAAATAAATAAATAAATAAAGACAGTGGAAAACAACACAACTCTGTTAACTTATTAATCTAAAGCTGGTTTATACTTTGTTCTGTAGACCTCCGGCCCACAGTAAAGCAGTTCACGGAGCAGACGGAGCTCGTCCTTTAAACTGGACCTGGTTCTGGTTCTGACCGCTGTACCAGTCA